AGGACTGCCTCCACGACCCGACCGGCAACTATAAGGAATCCCGAGATAACACCTTAGTTCGTTCGATTATGTAACGAATAGCGTGAAATATCGACCTTTCTTTTTCTTCCGCAGCTGAACTCCTGACACTTTTCGCGCACCCTCTTATTAACACAACTCTAAAACTAACCACCAAACCCCAGTTCTAACTCTACCATCCAATTCGCAACGTGCAAAAAACCCCGGGACGAGTCTTTATTCGCTTGGTTTTATCAAGGAATAGGTGAGCGAGATGATTTTCGTTCCTACCATAGTTATTCGTCCGCCATCTTCTCGCGCACCTTCTTTCTCTACTAACACCCTTTCCACTAACCTACCATTAAAACTAACCATGGATCCGGATTCGCCTTCATTCAAAACTTCAGTTTATACCCCTTCCTTGCCGAAAACACCCTCCACATGAGTGAAAGTTGACTTCTCTTCCTCCTCCGCCATGTCTGTTCCCTTCTCCTCTATCGCGTCGGCTCTGTCCCTCACGTACCTGACTTCTTCTTTGCTAGCGCTGTTTTTCCCCCAACAACGATCGACTTACACAATGTCAGTTTCTCCTGACAATTGGTCAGCGATTCACCAGCTCGGCCATCCTAGAAAAGATTTCGAATGTGACTAAAACTACTCCTTTTACCAAAATTCGCTTCGATAGCCCCTGCCTTTCTATGAACGACTTCAGTGTGATAACCCGTCCTAACACGGGCTGAAACACAGCTGATTTTTTAGTGTTGCTCATAGACTGAATGCCCTACTGAGTTCCCCGCCTGCTAAGTCTGTGTGTGTGTGTGCTTGCTGGACTGCATGTCTGTCTAAGTGCTGGTTGGCTTGCGTGTGTGTGACTGTGCCTGTCGGAGTGCTGGTTGGTACGAGTGTGTGTGTGTGGCCCGCCAGGGCACTTGTTCGTTCGTTGGGCCCTTAGGGCCGGGTACATACCTGTGGCCTTGGCTTCGAAAGGTTGCAGCGGGGAAAAAGCTCTCAAGTAGCGGGTAGGCCGGTACCACACCCGGCAGACAAAAGTGGCATTTTTAGAGGCCGGTAGTGTAGGCTAGGTCTAGCGGGTACCAGTTTGAGTCTAGGGCTTGTAGGGGCAATATCAGAGTCTACAATTATGTTTCCCTCCAGAAAAGGAGGAGGTACCGGTTGCTTGGGAAGGCCAGCGGCCTGGAAGTCATCGCCCAAGAGGCAAAGCAGGGTGCTATATCTTCAGGTCGGGCGGAAGACCCGGCCTCTTTTTCGGTGTGCAAGTTTGGCGACACACTGGTGAGTGCTGGCTGGAGCAGCGCTGCTGGGGAGGAAGGAGAAGGACTGGAGGGAGGAAGGAGGAAGGAAGGGGGAGGAGCGCCAGGGGTACTTACCTGGCTATGATGGCAGCCATCTTCATCACCTTGGTGGGCGCTGCAACAAGAAGTCCCCAGCCGGGGAGAGCCACACCAAGAAGCTTCAAGGCAGGGTTGGGCATGGCGGCCTGAGCTAGAGCAGCCATAGCTGCTTTGGGTTGTCCTTTGGACATCTGGGCAAGGCCTAGTAGTCCGCCATAGCCTCGGCCTATGAGAGTGAAGAGTGGGAGAGGCGGCCATGGCTATGGTGGACCTTGAGTGATACCTGCAGTAGAGGAGGGACTCGGACATGATTCTGGACCAGTCATTCAACATTGTATTATTATTTCTTGTATGAATAAGAGAAGGGGGAGATAAGGAGGAGGAGATTGTTGGGCGAAGAAGAAGAGCCTTGCCATTGTCTTTGCTGGTGTACATCTTCTTCTTCTTCTTTCTTACTTCTTCTTCTTCTTCTACTCCTCTCTCTCCTCTCAAGTTCATTCATTTCTTTCTGCAATTGGATGGCATTGTACTTTCCAGTGGATGTGTATCTCGAAATTGGCCAGGGTCATAACATTGGTATCAGAGCGGATTCTACTTGCTTGTGAGAGTTGACTTTGCTGCCCAACACTTAGGGTTAGGGTTGGTTGGTTGAGGGAAGTGGGGCATCGTTTCTAAGGGATGCTGCCCCCACCTGGTTAGGTCATGTGGGGTCAACATAGAACCTAACCAGGTGCTTGAGAGTGAGATTAGGGTGGCGAGACATTTCGAGGAGACTTCATGCGGCGATTTGAGAGAGGCGACAGTGAGAGGCACTCCCACCTGGAATCTGATTCAAGGGAGACACTTGGCAACTTAAGGGCTGCCCTCAAGTAGGCGAGCTTGAGGGCCAGCGACCATTCTGCATCAACGGACTGCAAGTTGCTACTTTGATCTTCAGCATCGATGGGGGATCCGGCGTTGCACTTGGGTGTTGGAGTCAGACCCTCCTAGGAGATAGGACACTAGTGTAGGGGTAGCGTTAGAGGGGTCAGGAGGACCACATGAGAAGGGGGGTGAGTTCTCTTTATCTCGAAGCTCGAGGCCACTCAGGTAAGTGTCGTGCACCTACGGGATGCCCATGTATGTGTGTATGGTATTGATTGACCTGCTGGGGTACTCTGGGTTTCTTTTCCTACTCCTCTGTGGTCTTGATTGTGTGACTAAATGCGTGTGATCTACCTACTCACCTGATGGATGGAAAATGAAGTATCTTGACATACATGCCAAGTCTTTCTACAGTGCTTTGTCTTTTCATCACTGAACGGTTGTTGTCTGTAGGTTCTGCCAGAAGTTTCGTTTTTCAATGAAGTAGAGACTGAACTAAGTTCAGGTGGAACTCCTCTTGGTTGGGATCTGGTTGAGACCTACATGGGACCTTGGGGACCCAGCGGGACCGGGCCCAAACAAGAAGAGCCTCTGGACCCAAATCGGTTAGGCATTGACCTCTTGTCTTCTTGGCTGGGATACGAGTTCATTCTTCTTGGATTAGGACACCCACTGTCGAGGGGATCTTGGTTGAGACGTTTTGCATGTCTTTTGATTGCACTGTCCGTGGCTTGACTCGCACCCTGTACACCACTCAATTCTCCATTGTTGCATTTAGTTACTCGTTGTCTGATTTGTTGTACGGTCACGGAGCTGGTCAGACTGGACTCGAGAGGACCTCGTATGCAGTCTGATCAGACTGGGTCGGTGGATCAGACCTCTCATTGAGATTGTTTGTTTCTTCTGCTGCTCTCCACTTCCGAATGAAATGCTGCTCCGGCTAGGAGTTCTACCTTCTCTTCTCTGAGCTTTTCAGTCTGTTTTTCTGAGTTCATTTCCGATGCCCGTGGAGACTCGCAACTTGAAAGAGGAGAGAAAGAGGAGGGAGAGAGAACAGAGAGAGAGGGAAAGTGATCGTCTGAGGTGGGCTAGGACTGGGAAAAGGAGTTTTCGTCCAAGCGGGAGGGGGAGTGAACCTCTTGAGAGTCTAATTGATTCTTTTGCTGATTGGCGACTCTCTGACCCACCTGTCCATACTGACAATCCAATAATGGCTCAGCTAACTTCAGTTCAGTGGCGGGCCTTGTTAGATGCAGCCAGTGATGCTGAGAAACCTTATCTGCAAGCACTTTTAGATAGTGCAATCCAAAGGGAATAGGAGACAGAGGAGGAGAGAAAGGAGACCTTGTTGAAAAGGCAACTGGCCCTCCTAGAGACTGAAGAGCAGTGTGGGGAACAGTTGCCTTTGTTCAAGTCAGGAATCTTGAGGACCATTCCACTCAGATCGCTGAAGCCTTTGCAAAGTTGCAGACACTTCAACATGATCTGACTGATATGACCCGCAAGTACCATGAATTGACAAAGGAGGTGGCTGACCTGCGACAAGCCCAAGTGGCCAACTGTTGAATACTTCAATAAGTATGAGCAGAACCAAAGATCAACCAATATAGGATGAAAATATATGCAGCGAAAGTCTGATAAATGGACCGACTCACACAGATATCACTCCACACACAAACAATCGTGAGATGGTGGGGTCTTAGCCAATCACAGACGATGCTCAGGCCCCGTACACACATACACAGCTGAAAGGTGGGAGGAGAGACGAAGGAGGTGGGAGATGTAGGTAGCGCCAGATGTCACCGAGATAGAATCCAGTAGGTCACCGATATGGTAATCCAAAATGTCATCGAACAAGATCAAAATGTCGCGGACAATAAGTCACCAATATCGGAGGTACAAAGTCCCAATGTAACCGGTGTCCAATCTGTGATGCTGCCGAGTATCAACCCCAACAATCTCCAAGTCTCGAA